TAACCCTGAACCTAACCCTAAACCTAACCCTGAACCTAACCCTAAACCTAACCCTAACGCTTACCTTAACTTAAATTGCGCTTTTGTGGGCGCGGTTTTGTCGGCGCGTTGTTGTGGGCGCGTTTATGATGTTGCGGTTTTCTCGCCGTGGTTTCGTCAGTGCACTGTTGTCGTGCGCGCATTTGTCGGGTCACAATAAATTTAGGGTGTATAGGAAACGCCTACTTTCCATATATACTGATCCAGATATAAAATTCCTTTTTTGGTCCAAAAATGGAAAACTAAGTAGAGGTGGTTCCTCATTAATCACAATTGGGACCAGCAACTATCACATGACCACCCACCATTCCACCTGCAGTCATTAAGCGAATCATAACAGGTCAATAAGACATCACAGGGCCACAACTTGCGACTTCCTGCTGACTTCTCCATTGACTACTCATTAGAAGCCACTGGTGAATGTTGCAAGTGGCAACCTCTTGACTGCCAAATATTGTGCCTTTGTAAATGCGTGCTTGTTGCCAAGCGCTCGAATCACAATCACATGATTGGAAGGATGCTGTGACTTCTGCTGCATCTTCAAGGACCACTTGTCAATCTGCTTATCCGGCACTGTTGTAACTTTGAAGCCTGAACAAATAGTCAATATGTGAGGGCTATCTGTATATGTTCCATCCAAGACTTGCCTTACACAATATAGGATATACTAGGACACTTGTTTCTGAAAGACACATATTGTAAAATTATTTATTTAAGATGGAAATCTTTGGGTCAAAACTGATGCATTTATAATAGTTTTTTTTTTAAAATGTAGGATACAATTGGGCAAGACAGTGCATTATCTTCCAATATTATTTATTGATCAGCTGAGTAACAGAGTGAAAGATTTAATGGTAAGTAACAATTGTGGTTTTCTTAAATTAAATAGTCTGAAAACGGAATACATAGAGGCTGAAAATGGGGCACGCGGAGGCAGCAATATGCAGCAGCGGCAATGGGCAGTGACGGTGGTGATGGGGGGTGGCAATCCCTGCAACCTAGAACAGCTGATAGGCCAGTGTTTTTCAACCACTGTGCCGCGGCACACTAGTGTGCCGTGACATAGTGTAAGGTGTGCCGTGGGAAAAACACCCGGTTGTGGCGCCCGGCAGAAGCCTCGCTCTCCTGTGGCCGTTTCAGTCGCTTCCCTTGTCCGTCTCGATTGCTGGAAGCAGTAACAAACGGCGCGTCCGCTCCGCAGCGCCCTGACACCCGCCCCAGCCGGCGGCTACCGGGCCTCGCTGGAGTCAATTGCAAAACCGCGTTCAGCACTTTGAGGACCTGAGGCGTCTTGGG